ATTTTCTTTTCCAGAAAGGCATTAATAATAACTTGCGAAGTAGTAATGGTAAAAGGAGGGAGATGATGAGATAATTTAGATGAGGGAGATACCTTATTTTATTTAAAATAATCTTAAGATAGGTAATAATAAGAAAATCCAATTAAATCCTAATTAATCTGGCCCTCTAGGTTATATTCTAAATAATTTTATTGAAGGGTCGTAAATGTTTAAAATAAGCCTCAGTATGTCGTGCCCTATATTCCAGTTTTCTTTTTTTTGGGAAAAAAGATCAGTCGAATAAAATGAGAAAATTTAAATAATACAATGAAAAGTATGAACTACGTACTGCTACATCTAAATGAGAGAACAGTTGACAAAAAGAGATGATGTCCTTCAGGATAATCTCATTAGTTTTGTGTCTGCGGATGCTAATCAAGCTGAGCAAATTGTTTGATAGAGGCCAAGACTTGAAGTGATTGATTACTTGATAAGAAGAAGGGAGAATTGATGACCCAATAGAAGGAGGACCGAAAACACTTATAAATCCTATATTTCCAGTTCTGCACTCTCATATTGCTTTATTTTTTTTTTGGTGTCTTTTTATAATTTTGATTCCATTATATTGGCGAGAACCCTTGTTTGGCAATAAAAGGGGCTATAGCCACGTATGATTCCCAACGGTCGAGTGCCATCTCTTCAGCATCCTCACTTGCCCCAGAATAATCATGATTGTCCTACTTGTCTACGTGACAGAAGAATCCTTAAATAATACTACGGGGGTGCTTGGATAGAAACCAAACCATAGTTTCAGAAGTGCTTGTACAGTTTACGAAGTAAATATGTGGATGAGTTTGTCTCATTTTGCTAAAAAGTGCTTCTGAAACTATGGTTTGGAGGTTGCCAAACACCCCCATCTCTAAGTCGGATATAAGAGTTAATTGAATGTTAAATTTAATTATAAACATAATATTTTTCAGGAAAATTTGGTAAAAAATCACTGTTTAAAAATTTGATTGGCTAAAAAAAATAAATTTAAACGTGTGAAATTATGATCCGTGAGTATAAAATTTATTTCGCCATGTGCAATATATTTTTCGCTATATATAAATAACTTCTGTCTTGATATTGTTGCACATCATTATATTGATGATATGCTACATACAACAACAAAAAATTACACTCTCTCAAATATAGATCTTTTTAACCAATTAAATTTTCAAACAAAAACTTTTAACTAAATTTCCTGCTTTTTAATTTATTTTATTTTTCATACTTATTATTCAATTTTCAATACTATCTCTATGAATTATACGTACCAAGGGAGTTTGCATAATTTTAAAATAAATAACTAATTTAAATAATTTTTTAAATTAAATTAGTCAAGTAGACATTATATTAAGAATTAGAGGTAGTATATGTTGTCATTGATGCTACCTCCCCCTCCTCCAACCCAAAACGCGTAATTTTATGATCTAGTTTATAGGAACTGTTAACATATTTTATTATAATTAGGAAAACTTTTAAATTTTATTAATCATGTTTTAAAATTTAATAAATTTTAATTTTATCCACATTTAATATATATACATTTTTAAAAAAATAATTTACAGAACAATATGTATTTTAAAAAAAATAATTTCCGGAACAATACTCGAGGAGTATCACTCTCAAAACCCAAATTAAAAACAAAGAAAGGAAAAGAAAATTGACATAAGAAGGGGAGAAAAAATAGGAAGGGGAAAAAAAAGGCACATCTACTCATTTTTAAGTTGGTATTCAATGTGTGCTAACTATTTTATGTCTGCCTTATCTTTATGTACCTTTGTTTTGTCATTTAATATAATTGGCTATGTTATTAGAAAAAAATTGAATGGGATTCATCTGCATGCCATAAAATATTGCACCAAACTTCATAATTTGCTATAAAAGATGACTCCTTACGCTCCTATTGTTTTACCCCCGGAAATCGAAAGCCTTCTTTTATCTGCTGCTCCCATCATTGCGTCTCATTAAAGTTGTTTCCCTGCCCTAAGGTTTCTACACGTGCTCCGTACTTATGCATGGCAAGATTTAATAATTTTAACTCCTTTTTTTCCCCAATAAAAGATCCAAATTAATTATGCAGTTCCCAGAGAGCCGTATAAGATGCTGATAAGCAGTGAACTACCTCCACTATTTAATATAAGACTTCATTTAATTTTGTTTTATTCATAAGTATAAGACCTCAATCCACTTCGTTTCTTATATTTATGCATTTTGTCCAAGTTAGTCCTTTTAAATATGATGGTTCTAACTTCTAACCAATACACTTGATTAATAAGGGTATTTTAGAAAAACACAACACATACCTATTACGAATAACTAACTTAACTAACTTTTTTAATCTACTTAAATTAGTCAATTAGCTCTTATATTTAGAACTAGAGGTAATACTAGAATATCACTATAAGTAATCTGTTTAATCCGGATAAGTCTAGTTCATTATCACATAGGATCATGGACCTTTTTCGGGGAAATTAATATAAGTTTGATTATATATAAAACTACCTAATTGTCCATTGTAATTATACGTGTAATATATGAAACTATTTTTAGTTTTTTATTTGAGTGAAAACTTTAGAGGAGGATGAATTGAAAAACTATTGTATTAGTTTTGTAAATTTTTAAGTTTTAGTTGACATTATGATATTGATAGTCTTCATTTTTTTTTTGAACTAAGGGTATTGAGAGAAGTTCTATTAAAAAAAAAAACTAATACTCCAGGTGTTGAACCGCATGGAAAAGATTATATTCTTTTTCGAATACACGCGTTAATCCTTATAGAACATATTTCTTAACAGTATACCCTGTAACAATTAATATTATTAAAAGAAATATTTAAAATTAAAATTGACTAAGTCATGTTAAAGATCAACTATATTAATATTACAATACAGATTGAATAGGTTATCCGTATTATTACTTACAAATAAAATGTTAAAATCGCTTGATTATAAAATCTTAATCAGTGATTTCGCAGTTCAAAAAGCTAAAAGAATAATATTATAAATGATGAGTAACATCACTCTTGGCTCTTTCAAAAATCCCTCGACATCTGAAGAAACTTGCAAACTTTTGAATTAAGTTGTAGGAAGCCCTGGCGCCTCATTTGTAAAAGAGCAAACTTCTTACTTGTTTTACATATGATTTCCCAATTGGTTCATCAACAATTGTTCACGTTATGACAACTTTATATTTGATTATTAAAAAAATTAATTATTATAGTTTCACCGGATGTATGACTCAAATCTTATAATTCAACTTGTTGCGACTCAATTTTTTTAGTTTCACTAAATTTATAACTCAATTCTTATTAGTATCACATCTAATGGAAATGATGCATGTGGATCTCATGCTGTCATTTTTCTTCTTTTCTGTACCGTCTTCTTCCCCAACTCCACCAATGTTCATCCGCTACAAACTAAACTTTTTCGGGTGAAATGGCTATATAGGGTGGGATTGCAACCTTTGCTTGTCAATTTCATGAATAATGAAGATGGTACAAATCTTTTGGAGTTCAGAGGCTTTATCATCATGTCGTGACTCGTGAGGAAGGAAGGAATAAGTATATAGAGATGAAAGAGTAAAGGAAATGCCAGGCAAATATGAATATTTTATTCAATAATTAAGTTTGAATACAATTGAGAAATTCTAGGATTATTTATAGAGCCCTAAAATAAGGGAAAAATAGTAATTCAAATTTAAACTTAAAATCAATAACCAAATAAATCCTCATTCTAATGAACAAATATCCTTTCAAATAACCTTAATGGATAACTCCATATATATATATATATATATATAAATAAAACTCCAATTATATTAACCAGTGTCTCATATTTAGGAATTATATATATAAGAAAGAGTAACTTGTGAATACATATAAAAAGGCGTAATAACATAAAACACAGGTTATCATGAAGCTAAACCTAGACTCACAATAATATGCTTATTCCGACGAGTCAATTCAGACAGCGCAACCTTCTCAAATTAAAACTACTTCAAACATGCATGGCTAATTATGGTCCAACACTAATCGGCAAAACTCTAAATATTTCTCATGGCAAAAAAAAAAAAAAGGTCTAAATATTCCTCAACGTACGGGTTTCACAACACTGGGAAAGCAGGTGATGGGTGCGAACCTTTGATCAGGTCAACAATGGCTTCCCAGTCATCTCCAACACCCGACAGTCCCAAGTTTTGTTGCGGCGATGGAGACATCTCATTATGTCCACACACCAAGACGTCGTCGTTAAGGAGACCTTCCATGGAATTACAGTTATACCCTGTTGATCCGAATGCTTCCACGGCCGCCATAATATTGCAGTCGTCTCCCAAGCATCGCACCTCGTTTCCCCATGCTTCGCTGTCGCTTTGCCCAGTCATGGTTCCACCATCATTTGCGACGGTGGTGGTGGAGGAGGAAGGAATTAAAATTTGATTGATCAGCCCAAAGGTAGTATTACTGTTGGTACATTCGGAGTTATTGAGAGGGGCGGTGTCCGGGAAGCTCAACGTGGACGACGGTGACTCGAAGTCGTCGGTGGCGAGCATCATAGCGTACATGCTATGCGTTTTGGGGGTCTTCTCTGTTGAGGGCTTCGACGTGGCGGACGACCATGAATTCTGCCATGCCTTGAGCACGTCGAGGCAGGGAGGTGGCGATGGGCGAGGTGTGACCTTGTTGAGGACGAGCCGAGTCACTGAAGGCTGGTGGGAAGAGGAGGAGGAGCCGAGCTGGTTCTGGAGCTGAAGTTTGGAATGCTCTTTGGCAAATGATGAGCTATCACCGACCATCTTGAAGGTGCATGATAAAATAAACCCCATGAAAACTATATTTAGTAATCATAATATTTTTGAAGAAAGAAAGTGTACTATAATAGAAAGGTAAATATGATATTGTCATGACGTGTTTACTTCTTTATTAGGAAACTACTCCTGATTAACATGCATGGAATGATTACGGTTGACGCTTATAATTACCTGTTTCCAAGAAGAGCGTGAAGTTGAATAATGATTTGATCTTCCTTCAAACTGAACTTGCCTCGTTTTATATCAGGTCTTAAGTAATTAGTCCACCTCAATCTGCAGCTCTTCCCACATCTCCGAAGCCCTGCAAATTAGTCGTTACACACACACGCGCAAAAATTCTTCTAGCTGAGCCTTTTCTATGCAGAATTCCTCACCAGGAAGACATTAAGAATACAGATTATTTAGGAGTGTGAGTACATATCAGGTGTTTAAAGAACTGAAGAGATCGAAAATGAAGAGTCAAAAGTGAGTATATGGGAGCTATTCACATCTCCTGACTCCTTTGTGGTCACCAAAACGTACAAAGTATTCTACATCTTCTTTAACAGATAGATAAAATGTTTAATTATCTACTTATTATCATGTACCATCGTTATGCTGTAAATAAAAAAAAAAGTAGTCTTTCAGGTAGTGAAATTTTATTATATTGATACTCGTAACAGTCGGATGATAAAAAGAAGTTAGCAATAGGATATTTCGAGGCGCATGTCTGTGTGTGAAACAAGAGATAGGGAAATCAGTTAATTACCAGCTTTTGCTGGCAAGGAAGACCAGCTTCCTTGGCCACGTTGATGAATATAAGCCACCAGCTTCTGGTCTTCTTCAGGAGTCCATGGTCCTTTCTTTAACCCTCCTAGTTTCTCACAGCACGACGATGACTTCACCATTATATAGTTTCCAGGAAATGCCAGAAGAAACTAGAACGATGTATAAGCACAAGAGAAAGAGCGGGCTATGAAACAGATATTAAGCAAGGTGAAAGAAAGCTGCAGGTCGGGGAGATTGAGATTACATATACATATATATATAGGATATATTCACTTTTAGATCCTTCGAAAAATATGCTAGAGAGAGAGAGAGAGCTAAGAGACGATCAGAGAGTGGAGTTAGCTGGAGAAAGGAAATACAGGTAGATGAAGAAAGTCATAGATATGACCTAAACTTATATTGTCCTTCCTTTCTATTTCATTTTAACTACTATCAAAACTTCCTTTTAAATTTGAGAAGTTATATACACTTCTCTAAAATTCAAAAGGTATGTTCATAGAAACCAACCCCTCTTTATTTTCAAGATTATATTTTTATCCATTCAAATGTTAACTGACAATTAAATTATATAATTTCCACCCCTTTTGAAATAATTTTTATTGAAAGATTATTTGAATACCCGTCATATAAAAAATAATTTTAATACATTTATTTTACACTTTTGTTAATTTTATAACTTAAAAAACTTTAAATGATGAATTTATTTAAACATATGAATGTAGTAATTTTTTTTAAACACAAATGTATTTCAAACACATCCGTACAGAAAGAGACTTAGTGAATTAATTTTTTGCCAACAAATTATTAATGAGTTAATTAGCAATTTAATTATAATAAAAAATAAATTAGTCGATATAATTAATGCTAAGATCACTTTTGTTTGCTGAAACCCAAGGAGTATGGTTTAGTCACTGTTTGAAATTCAATTCAGACATGACCTGCGAGAGAGACCATACACATATAGGGACTCAGAGGGTTTGGTACACCCCATTAAAATTTTGACTTTTGATTACTAAAAAAAACGTGTTGGATTACCGACCAAGGAAAAAAAAAAGAAAAATGTGGGCAAATCGAATGAGGTGCACTGCAAAATTATTAAGAAAAAGAAAGAATGTTGGAGAGAATAATTAAGAGGGAAGGAGTGGAATAGCATGGAGAAGAAAGAAATCAGAACCGTACATAAATTTGAAACCAGAGTAAATGTATTGATATCAAACCCCTGATTCCAATAAAATTTATATTTACTTGTGTTCGCTCTTCTCATCAAATTTACAGGGCTTCAGTTTAAAGCATGAGTAAATACTCGCAATATCACATGTTGGAAGTATTTAGGCTTTAACAAAAGGGCTAAAAGGTATTAACAAGTTGTTATAAGGAGAAAAATACAAATTTGAATATTGATAAGTGTATTTGTTGGGAGGGCTATTCCAATCTGAAAAGGATTAGCTTTAAGTCTAATATAATTTAGGGATACTCTAGTTCTACCTGAAAAATGGCTAAACGGTATTTTGTGCCCAAAAAGTATTATCTTAAAAGAAATTTGTACTCTGAAGAATCACTTGAATCACTGTAACACAATGTTTTAAATTGGTACCCTACTACTATATGCTTCGCCAATTTTAACATATCCTAAATGTTGATCGGTTGGGCATGTAACGCGTACTACTAGCAGTTTCCGGATCAACCAAAAAGCATTATTATGTTATCGGAGGCAATGTTTTGTTAAAAAAAAAATGATGCTTACATTATATTTTTTATGTCTGTTTTACTCAGTTGTGTTCTATTTTTTTATATGTATTTATAATTTAATGATAGTATTTAAAAAAAAGGAAATATGGTTATTAGAAATCTTAACATAATAAATATAAAAAATTTGATCTAAGTACTGTTCTTAAAAAATGGATCAATTCAATTCCTTATGGAACCGTCTTCTGCAAACTATTAGCCGAGATAAATCTTTTTTGTTATGAATATAATAATATCTTTGTGATGTCCATGTATCGCCATTATCTCTAATATCTCTATATCTCAATATCTCCATTATTTTTATATTCCACAATTATTTTCTATTATTATGTAATTTGTAGATTCTGTTACAGATGTAAAGCTGTGTTTATAAATAGAGACTATGTATCATGTATTCAATACCTTGAATGGAATGAGAAATACTTCTCTCTTCTATTCTCTTTTATTTTCTTCTCTTATTTTTTTACTCTTTCTATAGTTTTATAACACTTTCTATGATATCTAATTAACTTCAAACCTTCGTTGGAAAACCGAAAATATCACAACATTACCTCCCCCCCCCCCCCCCACCCTCCTAAGAAAAAGAAAACGAGGAAGAAGTTAATAGTTAATACCCCATTCCCCCATCTGCCTCAAAAACGGCTTGCCGTTAGAAGAAAAAGAATGAGTCCTAATAGGAAACTATTTGGGCCAGCAAATATATTGGACCCAAATGGACTCATTCTTCTGATCTTATAAATCATACACACTTAGGCCACGATTAATCAACATCTGCATTCGAGAAGTGGCCCATTGGGTCAGTCTGTGATCATTCGGTCTTTGAAACTTGGATCCGGTCCTAATAACTCGGGTCATCCAAATCCCGCCACTCGAACAAATTGAACACCACCGCGGTGTAGAATGGATTCAAAGATTAGGAGCCAACGGGCAACAAAATGATTTTTGCAAGCCTTTTGTCGCTTCTTAAAAATATATTAGAAGTAACTTATAAATAGAATTAGATAAGCAAAAGTTTAAAAAGACATTTAGAAACTCTTAAAATAATTATTTTTACATTTTACAAAGTGAAACTCTACGAAATAAAGAAGAACGAACATGATAAAACTCTCACTTATCAAGGACAAACAACAAATCCCACTTGAAATTTAAGAGAGAATTTATGTTAACCTATCATTAGCTAAGGATCACATTGTCCCACACCCTTGATCCATCCATGGAGACCCTCCATATATACTACTTGGTTATTAATCAAACTTGCACAAAATCTTAACTGACTAAATTTAATATTTCGAACAAACTCTTTCCACATATTTATTTTGCAGAGCGTTTTCTAAGCTAATCCATATGATTATATATTTATAGCAGTAGTAGTTATAATAATGTATCCGTAGATAAGGCCAATCTGTAGACAGAACTAATAAAAGATTATACCAAACTTCAGAATGAAGTTGTAATGAAAACTGTGAACTCCTGCAACTACTGTTCTCAATTCTCACCCTCAAGCCTTCGCTATATCATCTGCTGCTTCCATTATAAATGATGTTTTAATGCTCAAAGGCTTCCATAGTCTGATGAAGTGGCCACAGAGACGCAATTAATTAGCGGGCGCTGCCCCCTCACCCACACACACAAATGTTATAAACTTGATCGATCGTATGCAGCAATAATATAAATATTCAAATACTTTTAGTTAGGATCAATTTAACTATTATGTGACCAGATTTTTATGCCCCTTATTTATTCTTTTTCACCTCTTTTTTAAGAATTTGAGTTATTTTTATGCCCCCTCTTCATCGACATCAAATCCACCACCCTCGTTTCTAGATTTGTCTCTCAATTATGTTAGGGATTATACATACATACATACATACAAAAAAATGAAAGAGTAAGTTGTGAACGCATAGAAAAGGCTATAATAATACAAGACACATCAGGTTATCATGGAGCTAAACCTGGACTCACTCATGCCGATGAGTTAATTCGGACAACACAAGCTTCTCAAATCAAAACTACAGCATGACTAATTATGGTGCAATCATCAAAAAGTCTGAAGATAATATTTCTAATTCTAACGTGTCTCACAACATCATTGGGAAAGCAGGTGATCGGGGAGAGCCATTGATAATGTCACCAATGGCTTCCCAATCATCCCCAACATTTGACACTCCCAAGTTTTGTGGCGTGATGGAGACATCGCATTAAATCCATACGCATACACATCGTCATTGCGGAGACCTTCCATGGTATTAACAGTTATAACCTGTTGATCTGAATGCTTCCACGGCAGCCATAATATTGCCGTCGTCTCCCAGGCTTCGCACTTCGTTTCCCATGCTTCACCGTCGTCGCTGCTTGCTCCTTTCATGATTCCACTGTCATTCGCGACGGTGGTGGAGGAAGAAGGAAGTAGACTTTGATGGATCAGTCCAAAAGTAGTATTCCTTTTCGTCCGCTTGGAGTTAGGAGGGACGGTGTCCGGGAAGCTCAGCGTCGACACCAGCGACTCGAGGTCGTCGGTGGCAAGCATCATGGCGTACATGCTATGCATTTTGGGAGTGTTCTCTGTTGAGGGATTCGACGTGGCGGACGAGCATGAATTCTGCCATGCCTTAAGCACGTCCAGGCACGGAGGGGGTGATGGGCGAGGTGTGACCTTGTTGAGGACGAGCCGTGTCTGAGAAGAGGAGGAGGAGCCGAGCTGGCTTTGGATCTGAAGCTCCGAATATTCTTTGATTTGCCTGGCTTCGGCTTGCAGCCGAGCAGTCTCCCACTGAGCCATATGGCTGAGGTTGGCTCCGCCCTTGACGGAGTCGTTTATGGGCTTGTGGGTGGTAGGGTTGATACCCATTCTGGTGAGCCTTTTCTTAAGGCGGGTGTTCTAGTAGTTCTTGATCTCATTGTCTGTTCTATTTGGCAATTGATGTGCTATCACCTACCATCTGTAAGTGCGTTGGAGCGAAACATAATAATATTTTTGAAATGAGAATAACATGTAGGCAAAATATATATCCTGCCATGTGGTTAATTTCTTTTTTAGTTGAAGTATTTTTGGGAGCTACCTGTTTCCGAGAAGAGAATGAAGTTGAATAATGGTTTGATCTTCCTGCGAGCTGAAGTTGCCTCGTTGGATGTCAGGTCTGAGATAATTAATCCATCTCAGTCTGCAGCTCTTCCCACACCTCCGGAGTCCTTTTCCTCATGAAAACCTAAAACGCATCACTCATCTTCCTTACCAGATAAGTCTCTAATCATCTACTTACTATTATCATCTACCATTTTATTATGAAAATAAGCCACCAGAAATTGCGAGGTGGTTTTTAGAACAGATTTTGCAGGCAGAAGACCAGCTTCCATGGCCGTGTAGTTGAATGTA